GTATCAAAAACGTCTGCAAAACGGAAAACCGGAAAAGGCGGAATATTCTAAATAAGAGTATTTGGCGAATAGAAAACAGGGAAAGGGAGAAGAGCAAAGAGTCTTAATTACAATTCGAGGGTGAAATTATAATTCTCAATTTGTGCTCGAAACGGAAAACCGAAATTATTTATAAGTAAAATTTAGTAAAACCAGGAAAATCATCATAAAAATAAAATAAAACGTGAAATGACGGAAATTTCGTAACAAGCAACCCTTAACGTCGTAATTTTTACTTCTTCGCTCTTTTAAACGCAATTCATACCGGTTTTAATGCGCACATTATAATAAAAACTCATTAACATAATTTAACAACGCAGTCAAACATTAAAAATTAAAAACTTTTACGTTTTACGCACAAAGCGCGAGCATAAAACTCAAATATTACGTAATTCGGGTGTTTTCGTTTCATTTTCAAATTTATTTTGTTTATAACTTTTGTATTTGTTGATATTTTTTTATATAATTCGGGGAGTATACGTCTTGTAACGAAATAAACATATTCTAAAAATTTTATTAAAATTGAATGAATAGTTTTGTAGTAATTAACAAAAATTTATGAAAATTTATGAAAAAACATTTTTGTCAAATTTTGACCTGCAAAAACGAAATAACTCGAAAAGTATTAGTCATATCTTTATGAAATTTTCAGTATTTATGTATAATGATAAAATACAAGAAGTGACTGAAAATCAAACTCCTAGGATTTATACTTTATGAAATATTAGCAAAAATCTAAGTGATTTTTGAGCAAAATTTAGAATATTTCAAAATTAAAATAAAACCTTTACATTTTACGCACAAAGCGAGCGCATAAAACTCAAGCATTACATAATCCGTGTGTAATATTCCAATTTTCCAATTTTAGAATCCACCGGGGGTGGGAAATTATCAACCCTCTGGATACTAATACAATTAGGTTATGTTGCGCGCGCAGCCTTACATATTGACACGGTACACACTCGAAAATTCTAAAACTCTAAACTCTAAATTGTAAACCTAAACGAATCGTCCGGAGGCGGCAACGGCGGCGGCGGGGATTTCCATGATTCGCTCTGTGAGCTGACCGTGAGAACGTTCCGAAGCAAAGCTTCCTAACGAAGTCATGACTTTCCTTACGTATTTACGGATGTATGTGTGTATACAGTGTGTACGTGTGTGTGCGTGTGTAAGCGAATGTAAATTTCGAATCTCGACGAACGAATCAAACGCTATTCTTCGCTGCGCAAATGTTTGCCGAAAAGATTTGCGCATTTCGTTGGAAAAGCATTTTGTTGGCGGAACGCGTTAGCTACCAGAGAAATGTCAGAAACTTAAAAATTGATTTAGCATATTACAGATTCCTGCAGCTAATATTATCGGCATTACAGTTTCCTTTAATATAATTTCATAGTAATATCTACATATCCACACAATTTTTTGTTCTAAACTTCAACGAACACTTTAAAATGTTAAAGAAAGGAATTAAGGTCATTTCAAACCGGAAGTCGACTTTGTGTTTAGGTATTTTGTGGGTTAAACGAGTTAAACTACCAAAAAAACATCAAAAACCTAAAAATTTACATTAAAATATTACAGATTTCTGAATTTTATGTTATCGACATAACAGATTCCTGTAATTTAATAGAATCTACTTATACACACAATTTTTCTTGTTTTATGCTTAAAAACGCTTTAAAATGTGTGAAAAATAGGAATTATGGTCCTTTTGAACCGGAAGTTGACTTTGCAATCAAGTATTTTGTTGGTTTAACGAGTTAACTATCAAAAAATGCCAAAAACCTAAAAATTTTGTTTAAAATATTACAGATTTCTATATTTTATGTTATCGACATTACAGATTCCTGTAATTTAATAGAATCTACATATACACACTATTTTTGTTTGTTTTATACCTAAAAAAGCTTTTAAGATGTGTCTAAAGGTCTTTTCAAACCGGAAATTGCACTTGGTGATTAATTAATTACATTCTCAAGCTTTTATTACAGCATCTTCAATACGAACCGAATTTAAAAGCGTTTTTTAAGCTTTTAACATTTCTAGTTTTTTCCTTCAGTCATTGAAGGTAAAGATTACGCGTGAGTGAGTAGTTCCGGAAATCAAACGTTCAACCCTTAACCTTCTAGACATTCTCTGTAATTATTCATCCCTTAAATTATCCTTTCAATCATTCACCGCTTCTGCTTGAAGAGTTGCCTACAAACTTTACTGCACTTCACTTCACTTCCGGTTCACCTTTAATTTGAATTTATCTCTGCAATGTCCTTGCGTTTCCGACTATTTCCTTTCAAGTGCATGAAGTTTATTACATTATGCCGTTTTTTGTTGTTTATGTAATTTAGTTGTTTGCGTTTTTATATTTTTATGAGCTTTGTGTGTTTTACGCGTTTAGCCGGCACAGCTTTTTGCGTTAGCCGCAATCTCCGCCGGCGGCGTCGCTGGAGACTTGCTTAAATATGAAAAATGTTTGCATTTATGCGGCCGCCGGCCGCAGCGGGGTCGGAAACCGGAAGCCAAAGGACAACCGAAGCGCGGAGAGCGTTTAGTCTCGAGGAGAGATGCAAACAGATGCTAGTAGCCGATGAAAGCTCATGGGATTACCCGCATTTTGTATACTATGGAATGAACTTAATTTTTGCAAAAAAAGTTAAAGAAAACAAAAATTCAACAAAAAATTTTACAGAAATCTGTAATGTCGATAATATAGAAAACTATCATTAATATAATATAAATTACCATTACAGGAAACTGTAATATGTTAGTAGTGATGCATAATATGCTCATTTTACATAATGATATAATCTCTGCAACATAACCTAACTTAAGCTCTTGGCAGAAGGCACATTATGCAATATTGCATGTGTTGGTAATTAGTACGAACATTAGATATTAAACGCGCGCATCCGGCACGTGCACAAACTGTAATCACCACAATATGATCACCATTCGATGGGAATTCATATGATTACAAATGATAACATTTAAAACGTCGAAATATTACTAATAATCTTCATTAAATTTAAAATTAAATGGTAATCAGTTAAATTAACAAAAATTTATTTCTTGTCTGATTATTTAGAGATGTGGTGGTGTATTGTTAATTACATTCGGTAATTGGACGAATTTATCAGTAAATTGTGTTCGGGTGACATTAACGCAAGATTAATCTGGTTGAAGAAGTAAATGGACTGTAAATTTACTTTTTCTAAAGATAAATAAAATTTTAGTTGCGATTATCTCATAAACTATTCATTGGATTTTGTTTAAATTTTGTAGGGATATTTGTAATAAGATTGTTTATAATCTCCTAAAAAATTATTAAATTCTATCGATTTGTTCTTTGTAAAAATCAAAAAAACTTTTAAAAAATGTTCAAAAAATTAAATTTAACTTTAGATGCTAATATCTCCTAAACTAATCGTAGGATTTTATTCAAATTTTGCACATATATTTGTCATGTTATTGTTTATAATCTCATAAAAAATTATTCAATTCTATCGATTAGTTCTTTGTAAAAATCAAAAAAACTTTAAAAAAAAAATGTTCAAAAAATTAAATTAAATTTTAGATGCAAATATCTCCTAAACGAATGGTAGGATTTTGTCCAAATTTTGCACATATATTTGTCATATTATTGTTTATACTCTCCTAAAAAATTATTCAATTCTATCGATTAGTTTTTCATAAAATCAAAAAAAACTTTTTCTAAAATTTTTGCAAAAAAGTTTTTCTCACGAAAAAATTAACAAAAACTAATCATTCTCCTACTAAAACATTATCTCTTATATAATCTATCAATCAAATACGTATACACTCTATTTTTACCAGTAATTAAGCTCATTTTGCGGTGTAGAAAAAAACTGCAGTAAAAATTACCTAACGAATGAGTTTTACTTTTGTAAAACGAACATTTTATGACGTTTCATCATCATCTCCGTAATCGACCAATGCGATTATTTGCCCCGATTGCAATCCGGGCAGATTAAAAAGAAATGACGCGAGCGCAATCGCAATCAATGCGGTGCGCGCTGCCCGGCGCCTCCACCAATAAACTCACTCGGCATGCGCTCGCCCGCGCGTGAATCACATCGGGTGGAAAATTGATAAATAAAACCATCAATATATTACCGCTCAGAAATGTACAATACATAGTTTATATAAGTATTATGACTGCTGTTCCAATTTTTTTTTCAATATAGAAAACTGTAATGTCGATAAATAAAAATAAAAAACAGAAAACTGTAATTTTTTGCTGGTTTTGTAGAAATTTACTTTATCAAGTTATATTTTGTAGTAAAACATATAAAAATTAGGTTAGTTGTTGTCCAATCACCATTTTGATCATTAAATTTAAGTTAAAACAGTTTTTTTCCGGTTTCAAAGCGGAAAACTTGCTTGAGTTGCAAAAAAAACTACAAAAACGTTTATTGCTACACGCTACACGCCTCATTAGAAAATATCGCCTCGGCCATTAACGAGTTCCCACCCTTAACCTCTAAACTCACCCTTAACCTCACTTTTCATCCCTCATTACACGTTTTATTTCATTTTTTCTCTCTCGCCACGTTCTACTTTCCACACCCACACCCTTTTTCACAAATAAAGTCATAGTATAGTCTAGTGTAACACGACCCTTGACACCGATAAAAATTTTAACCTCAAAAACATGCCCTGAAAAACACGCATACTAATTCCGGTGTTAAATCATGATCGCGATCGTAAAAGCGAGGAATACGCCAAAGAGTATTGCGTGTGAAAGTTGTTAAACTAAACTGCAAAAGCTCACCCCGGCGACCCCGGAAAACGGGTAAACCGGAAAACGGAAGGAAAGTTATATATGCGGCCGGCAGTCGTTTAAATCCGAGATTAAAAGTTTGTTTTAATCGCGTACAAATCGAAAAATCACAAAAACTAAATTTTTTTACATAAAAAAAGAAAAAAAAAGAGGTTTTTGCACTTACCACGACAAGATTCCACATTTTTGCAGCTTCAGCAACAGTCGTACACACCGTACTGCATCCGGCAAGCAACATCAGCTTCTGGGGCTGATTGTAGAGCAGATTGTACATGACGCTTGCACCCAGGCCAGGTTCACACTGAAATATAAAAGAAAAATAGTTAAAAACTTGTTTTTCTTCGTAAAATTATTGAAAAAGTGACTTAAGTCATGTTTTTCTGCGCATGCGCAGGTTACATAAGGAAAATAATAAAATTTTTAGTCGATAATAACAACAAAAGACTAAAATAATTGAAAAAGTCGATTTAAGTCATGTTTTTACTGCGCATGCGCATATGACTTAAGTAAAACACATATCTTTAGATAAAAATTTCCTAGATACTAATTCCTCTTAAGTTTTTATACTCACACAAAAAAATAAAACTAAAAAAATTTAAACTTTTTCTCTTTTTTCGTTTTTTACTTTATTTTTCTTTAGAGGGTGCAAAACGTGTCGACATTTTGCAATTCCCCCGAAAAGACGACGACGTGGACGCCGCCGACGACTCGAGACGTCGAGAAGTTAAGTAAGAGTTATTTACGAGCGCTTGATACGCGTTTTAAGCGCTGCGAGAGGCGCCTCCACCAAAATACAAGCACACAGAATACGCACCCCTATTTAGTAGGGTGGAAGCGTACGAAGAAGACGGACGAGCACGCGCGCACACCAAGAAGAAAAAAAATACTCTCTTTGAAAGGACGCGCAAAGACGAAACGTGTAATTAGCATTAAGTGCACTGCAGATACACTTTTACACAGCGATATCACGCGCATGCGCAGTAAAAATATAGGCGTGGCTCCCACAACAAAAATTTACAATTTATAATTAATATTTTATTTATTTTTAGTAAAGAAATAATAAGAAAATAAGAGAATTGTCCTTGAAATGTCCTTGAGAAAAAAACAGAAGTGATATAGTGTTTGAGGACTATTCCACCGACAAATCGACGACCATCGAGCGTAATCGAATAGAGAATAGTCCTCGGCCAAAGGATGCGAAAGGACCACTCCAAACTTTCAGCAATTTCGTCGTTGAAATTGAAGCAAATCGCAACGATTCAAAGTTAAAAGCCCTGAAAGGATACGAAACTACATCCTCTTTGATTCCAGCAAAAAATTCAATCCACTATATAAACTATAACCTCTAAAAAATCATCTAAAATCAAATCTTAATCATTTTTATCAAAAAATTTTTTTTTTATTTTTTTTTTTTCATTTTCTGCTTCCTCTGTATATAGAAGGATAAAAATAAGGATGGGAAAAGGATCCTGAGCCGGAACGGCAAGAGTGGCTTCATTTGAATAATTTACGACGGCTGCTGCGCGTACACAAACGAGTCCTTCGTGAGGGTTTGCAACAACTCGTGACTTGCACGGCGAGGAGCAAAGAATCCAGAGTTTTTAATAGCTTCCGCAACGTGTTGGCACTTAGAGCACCCTCCGAAGGATAAAAACAAACAATTTTTGTTTCACTGCGCATGCGCAGTAGTTTATCCTTAAAATATTGCTAACTAAGTTAATTATAAGTGATTAATAAAATAATTACGAGCGTTACTATCACGATTGTAATTTTATGCTTGCCACACGCGTTTTACACCAGATTACTATCATGACATAGTTTGCATAATGGCGTTAAACACATACACACATACATAACCTATTTTTCTGTGTGTTTTGTGTGATAAAATAAAATAAAAATATTTTTTATTTTTAAAGATTTTACTAAACACCCTGTATATTTTTATACTCAACTGCACTATGCAAGGACATAAAGAAAACGTAAACGTCAGCTTCATCCACGAGCGCAGTGAAAATAAATTAGAGTTTAATTTCGTCGCATCGCACGCTTTCACACTAGCGCCCTCTGGTGGTGACTAGCTTACACATGACTTTGCACTCGTATATTTTCTCTTGCGCGTTAAAATATCACCTCTATCAAAAACTATCATTGTGCTATTTTGTTACTTTGTGAAGTGAAATAATATTGTAACACTTTGAGTATGTTGGGTTGCCGATACACGTATCTATTACTTTATCTACTTTATCGAATGTGTATAAAAATTTACGTCGGCTTGATAGGATGTGATGTGATGCGCGCAGCGGGAAAAATTCCGAAAGTGTCTTGACTCTTGATACGCCCGATACGCCTGCCACACGCTATCATATCGTATGTTGGGTTGCGGATCGCGTATACTTACACCTGATACGCACTTCACTTAATACCCGATAACATTTCGCTGCGGAATAATGTCATTCTTCCATCAAATTCCAACGGTGGAAATTAGGTTACGTTTATTTGATGTTTTTTAGGTGCTTTTTTGATGATAAAGAGAAGAGTTTTCAAGGGAATTAAAAAATTCTTTCGGGGGATGATAAGTGTTATCATAATGAATATTTGTTGAAAGTTTCATGTGTTTATCAATAATATTTTATGAGTTATTTGTTATTAAAGTTTAAAAAGTTTAAAAATGATTTTTTTTTACTTAAATTGTGATAACATGTATTAAAAAGGATAAAAAGATTGTTTTTAAACATAAAATAGATTCGTAATTAAATTCTCTTTAAAATGACGTGCTACTCAACTCTATACGACTTTTAATAACCATTTTATCACGTTTCAAAATTACACATCGCAGCCATTTTCCCCGCCAGCTGCTTTCCGAACTTTAACAGCGCCCTCACACGCAGTTTTTCATACTACAAACACCCCATAAACGCTACATAACTCTCCAAGAAATAAACTATCCACTGCGTGTAGACTTATTGTCTGTACCTCAACGCAAGCGGCAGTAATCTGACAATTAACCGTCGTAATCTGCGCGATAGATAGGTAAGCGTCGCTTTGATGCGGCTTGATTAAGCCATTATCGAAGGCGAAGGAAGGTGATTAGACGGCGTCGCACGTTCCCTGATTGGATAACCTCGCAAACGCGGCATTCCAAGCAATAATCTTCAAAGCACAACAAAATCAATTCACCCTCAAATCAAACAAAAACTTTTTTCTATTATTTTTCTTCCAAACAGAAAAACTTTCTAAAAACCGTGAAAAAAATATCGTTTACGTATAAATTTTCAATTCCACGTTGAAAAATGTCGCCGGAATATTGGAAGCGTTCGAATATTTCAACCACGATGACAGGATGACAAAATGGCGCTCCCATATGAGACGCCCGCCCCCGCAGCACAATTTGCAAATTGACATCGAGTACTCAAACATCTACACGTTTCAAAATATTTCCATATCAATTTTAAACTCCAACCCTTTCTCACATACAGCTATATAAAAACTACCCGGGTGATGATGCACATTGGGTTGCCTATATTGCATGATTTAATACAATTTCCACTCGCGTCGCGTCGCGCACGTTTTGTTATCATTGGAAATTGCTCGAGTGTTGGCGCAGGATCAAAATCAAAGTGCAATAATATTCCAAACAACAACAACAACACTCTCGCAGCCGCAATATAAATAGAAATAAAAATATCACGGAGAGGATTCGTATAGTAAACTAAGCTAAACTAACAAAAGTATAACGATTGCTGAGCTCTCTTGTCGTCCGGGGCGAAAATTGGTGCAAATTAGATTTGCGCCGGTTTAATGTGTCAACGTTTCCCGACTATGTCGACAACTTCGCTACAAAGTAGCTCGTGGCTTCGTGAGAGATTTTCTTTCCCTCGAGGGGCTGCACAAGTCTTAGAAAACAAACAATAATTGTTTCACATACATCTACACAGGTTTACACAGACAGAGGATAGGGATGAGGATTTAGTATAGGCAACACAAATTACACGGTTTTACATAACCAATGATGTGTTAGAAATGGGCGTGGCACCTGAGTTGATTTTTAGAGTTTTAAGAGTTTTTGCTAATAATTTCTTCAAAAATCAATATTTTTAAATGAAAATACGTGTAAAATATAAAATTTTACCTCATTAATAAAGTTTTTATTTTATTTTCCAAAAAATAATTGTAAGAAACCCAAAATTTCATTTTTTCCAAATTTTTCTTCTAAAAAACTTGTTTTTTACTTTTATTTTCCCCAAAAATCAATATTTCTCAACAAAAACAAGCACAAAATATTGTTCTCTACCTAATTTATGAAGTTGCAACTTAAATTTTTCAAAAAATGTTAGTTTAAAGCTCAAAAAAATGAAAAATCAAAATTATTCAATATAGGCAACACAAATTACACAGTTTTACATAACCAAAGTTGGGCTGAGTATGGGCGTGGCACCTGAATTGATTTTTTAGGTTTTTAGTGATTTTTGAACATTTTTTTGCAAAAAAATTGTTTTTTGTTAGTAATTTCACCAAAAATCAACATTTTTTAATGAAAATTGATGTAAAATATCAATTTTTAACTCATTAATAATGTTTTTATATTATTTTTCAAAAAATAACTCCCAAAAACCCAAAAATTCAATTTTTTCACTTTTTTTGTTCTAAAAATCAGTTTTTTGCTTGTATTTTCCTCAAAAATCAATATTAATCAACAAAAACAAGCACAAAATATTGTTCTCTACCTAATTTAAGAAATTGCAACTTAATTTTTCCAAAAATATTTGTTTAAACCCCAAAAAACTAAAAAATCAAAATTTTAAACTATAGGCAACACAAATTACACACCTATACAATTCTGTCCAATGGGCGTGGCACCCAAATTGTTTTCCCGCATTTTAAGCATTTTAACACCTAAAACTCGTTTTTTTTTCAGTTTGTTACACAACAACTGTGCAACAACCGGCATGTTGCATCATTCGTCGAATAATCGACATCGAAATACCAAAATACCGAAAACGTACAAATGTGAAATAGTAGGAAATGTGAAAACCAAAAGCACATACAATCTGTCCACCCAAGTGGTTAATCAACTAAACTTTAATCAAAGATTTACGACAAGTACCTCGAACACATTGTATACGTGCAAATGGCGCGCACGCAAATGCTTTATGCCTCGGAATGCAAAATCCGCGATGCGCGCACACGCCAATAAAATACGTAATTAAATCGTGTGCGCGTATACAACGTCAGTGCGCGTATGGTCAAATCAAACACCATTTCCGCCATATTGGATTTTAGTTTTACAACTATTTTCACGCACTGCAGCCGCGAGTAAAACGCATGCAAACACACATTAAATATTAATCGTGTAATTTTCACAAATAGCTCTTTTAAAAATTCACAATCAAATCAACCATAGATATATATACAATGTGTTTGAAGTGTTTTCATAATAAAATCAAAATTAAAATTAAAATTATTAATAATATCACACTAAAGAATTCAAAGCTGAAATTTTAATTTTAATTTTAATATATGCAACCAAATATGCATTTATGTGTACGTTGGGTTGCAGTTAGTTTTAATCTATTTCGTCGGTGGAGCGGAACGCAATTACGATCACAATTAAAATTACAATATTACGCCGAGTTGCAAATGTTCCCCGCACACATGTGTAACGCACGCCTCATAAAATTGTTTTTGCGATATAAATTGAATTCAATTAATTTCGCATTTTATTTATTGCGATTATAAAAAAATAAAATAAAATTTATTTTGCGTTTGCGGGGTTTCCGCTTGAGGGATTTTAATTAACACCCTGAGAAAAGGACGTCTGAGTCATCAGAATTTTATTAGATTAGATTAATTATACTGGGTGTCTCACGAAACTCTCTAAAACTAATCAAATAGTTTGTTTGAGTGGAAATTTGCTTTCAGTTTGAAACAGACGACACAAACACTTTTCTAAGCTTTCATTTGTTCAGGATCTCTTTTCGTCCGCGTGTTTTCCTCTCTACGTGAGCACAGAATGCGAACAATGAAGATTTATTTGCGAAATGGAAATGGAAATGCGAATTCTCTGCGTTTTACGCTGGAATGAAAAGGAAAACGTGAAAATGCACCGCGACGCATATTGGAAAACTATTTATGCATTCGTGAGCTTTTTCGAGCTTTTGCTCTCAATTAATTCGACTTTTGATCGTTTTAGTTGAGCGGAACGTCTCAGAAGTTAATTAACTTCAACGTTGACTTCATTTCCATTGTAAATTTATCGGTGGAAAACACAAATGTCGAGATGGAGAGAAAAAATTGAAAGTTTTTTTTTGTTTTTATTTATTTGTTTGGTGCGTTGGTGGCACAGTGCCAAATTGTTAACGAATGCGTGGGATTAGCAAACACAATGCGTTTATTACGCTCGCGGGCCATTATTTCCCTCGGCGAGTGGGTTTAAAGTGTGTGGGAATGTGTAATTGTTTATTGCGTGTTATTATCGTGATATTCAATTAAAAAAATTTGCATTGAATCGGGTCAAAGAGAATTATTTTCGATAAAAATTTAAAAAAAGTGAAAACAATTGTCAATAAAAATTGTTTTTAATGATATAACAATTGAAATTATTATTAATAATAATAGTTTATATAATACTTTTGAGATTTTAGCAAAATTTCTTTGAAAAATGGCAAAAAATGAATTTTTGGCAAAAATTCGGTAAAAAAGTATGTTTTTTGCTAATATTATCTACAAAAATCAATATTTTTAAATAAAAATTAGTGCAAAATATTGCATTTTAACTAATTAATAAAATTTTTCTTTCATTTCTCAAAAAATTATTGGTAAAAACCCAAAAATTCAATTTTTTCCAATTTTTTTTCGAAAAACTTGTTTTTTGCAAATATTTTCTCCAAAAATCAATACTATTCTATAAAAATAAGCGCAAAATATTATATCTGAACTAATTAATAAAATAGATATTTTGGTTTTCAAAAAACAATTGTAAAAAACCCAAAAATCAAATTTTTTGATTTTTTTTTCCAAAAAAAACAATTTTTTACTTCTATTTTCCCAAAAAATCAACATTTCTCAATTAAAATAATCAGGAAATATTGCTCCCTAACTAATTTATGAAGATGTTATTTAATTTTTTGAAAAACCATCGTTAAAAACCCAAAAATTCAATTTTTTGCAATTTTTTTTTCTAAACACTTGTTTTTTGCTTATATTTTCTCCAAAAATCAATATTTTTAAATAAAAAACAGTGCAAAATGTTACATTTTAGCTAATTAATAAAATTTTTCTTTTATATTTCGAAAAATTATTTGCAAAAACCCAAAAATTCAATTTTTTTGCAATTTTTTTTCTAAAAACTTGTTTTTTGCCTATATTTTCTCCAAAAATCAATATTTCTCTATAAAAATATCGGAATATAATCGGGAAATATTGCTCTCTAACCGATTTATCAAATTGTTATTTAATTTATTGCAAAACAATTGTTAAAAACCAAAAAATCAAATTTTTTGCAATTTTTTTTTTCTAAAAACTAATTTTTTGATTCTATTTTCCCAAAAAATCAACTTTTCTAAATAAAACCAAGCACAAAATATTGTTCAGTAACTAATTTATGAAGTTGTTATTTAATTGTTTGAAAAATGATTATTTAAACACGCAGAACCAGTGAAAATTGCAAAATTCAGCCACGAGGATCTTAATTTTCCTCATCGCTCAAAATCAGAGTTTCCCCGTTTCCGGACGCTGATTCTCACAAACATTCCTCTCCTCCTCCACACTCTCACCCACCAAACACAAACAAACGCACACAATCCATGTTTCTTTTGTTCACTCGGCTTGTTAAGTTGCCGCTCACCGGGCGTGATCCATCATCAGGACGCGGGATTATTAGCGACAACCTGTCCGAAAGGTTTTGCGCGCTTTTCGCAAACGGAAATGAAATATTAGCCGCTCACAATCCGTATTTTTATCTTTATCATCATCAGTAATACCCACGCGCACTTGTTACAGCTATTGTTATTGTTACTGTTATTAAGAGAGGAATTTGTTATTATTATTATTATGATGTGCACTCACCTCGCTGTCATTGCTGTGTAATTTAAGTATGTATCCAGGCAGGAGGTCCTTGCGACTGTTGACGTCCTCGAGGGCGATTTTCGCCGCCGGCTCGCATGCCTGTCCGCCCTGCCAGCCGCCCTCGCCTGCGATGGGGAAGATGCCGCCGATGTGCAGCACATTGCTGGTGCTATCGCCGCCGTTTGCTGCCGGCAGCACTCGCACAGCACAATGGAGTAATGCTGCGCCAATCCATATTGACCAGTACTGCAACAAGAAATAATTATTTTGATATAAAATCACTTTAAACACTTTGTATGTTGAATATTTAGCAAAATTTCGTATAAAAATCGTAAAAATCTCGTTTTTTCTTTTAAAAAATTGAGAAAAAATGCGTTTTGTACATTTTTTAATAAACAATACTGTAAAATATAATATTAATAACAATTAGTATTATTATTGTTATTATTTTGCAATTTTATTGTCAAAAAACCAAAAAAATCAATTTTTTTCAATTTTCTTCACAAAAAACTTGTTTATTGTCTTGAAAAATTGAGAAAAAAGTGCTTTGGGTACATTTTTTAATAAACAATACTATAAAATATAATATTAATAACAATTAGTGGTATTATTGTTATTTTTTTGCTATTTTTACGTCAATAAACACAAAAAATCAAATTTTTTGCAATTTTTTTTCTCAAAAAACTTGTTTTTTGCTCGTAATTTCCCTAAAAATCAATATTTTTCAATAAAACCAAGCGCAAACTATCATTATTTAAATAATTTATAAGATTATTTATTAATATTTCAAAAATTAATTGTTTAAAACATAAAAAAACACAACAAAAAACTCAAAATAAACAGTTTTTATGCAATGAAAACATATTGTATATCAAAATATTTATCCAGCAGCCATTTTGTACTCCTCATTATTCATGTTTCATTAGCTGCCACTTCTTGAAGCACTTTGATTTTCCTGACGAGGGTCGCGCCGCGTAATATCCACAATAAAACAACAAACAACCCTTAAAGTATATTCTAATCACTAATTTATTCATATCTCATCCCCCCTCTTAAATTCCAACCTATTCCCTTCCCTATCTTATACATAACACCACCTAACGCCATCTGGTGTCGCGTAACCGTAATAAACTACAGTAACATGCACGTTAGGCAAACTTTTTAACACTCGTTGGCACTGGATGTAATTAGCGTTACTTTTCGGTGTGTACGCGCGCGTAACGCTTCATTTCGCTAATTTTGATTTACAAACGGCCATTAGGGCCTCGCTGGAAGTTCACGCCCTTTGTTTGCTGAACGTGGTAAACTTCGCCGCCTGTAAATTTCACGCGTCGTTATGACTCACAGTGTTTAAACATGTTAAAGTTAAACATGTGAGCGAAAAAATATTATTAAGGTTAGAGGTTAATATTGTGTTTCAAGATGGCGGCGGTCTAATTTTGGCGAAGCGTGTAATTTTTTTTTGTGTGTTGTATAACAAGATGAAAATTGAGGATAATTAAGATGGAGATAGACTCAGGGCGGAAATAAAAAACGCCTGCAGGAAGCGGGAAACACGAAGCCGGGTTTGTACAATATTATTACATTATTATCTAATATAATAAAGCGGCGGGTATCTATATTAAAAATATTCGCGGAGAAAAAATATTAAAGATGGGTTTTTTTGGGTTTTAGAGGTTGGTTGATGAAATTAAGAGGAAATAGGTTAAGATAATGATGATTAAATAAATTAGAGATGTTTTTAGAGAAGGGAATGTAAGAAATGTTGCATATTTTTCGTAGAAATTGAGTTATAACCTTAAAAATGTTAAGAATTATAGTGAAATTTGATAGAAAATTGAAGTTTTCTTCTATTTGTTTATAGATATTGTTATAAACAAAAGTGGATTCAGATAGACAAATAAATTATCTACCTCTTGCATTTATCAGTTTTTCAAATTTCATAATTATAAGGGCATTAATTATTGTTTAAATGAAAAATTCATAATAAAAACTTGCTGAAATTTGCCAGAAAATAGCAATTTTCATTTATTTGTTTATAGATATTGTTATAAACAAAAATGGTTCTAGATACCTGAATAAATTCCCCATCTTTTGCACTAATCAGTTTTATCAAATTCATTATTCAAACTACTTTAATTATCGTTTAAACAAAAAACTCAAAATAAAACTAATAATCATTTTTTTCATATTTTCCGGATTTCCGGCCTTAATACCAACAATCTTTTATCAACCATACCATCAAATTAAACGAAATAAAATTATCTATCATTCCCAAAAAAGATTTTCCTTTTATCAACAATATTTCTCTACTTAATCCACATCTAAACATAAAAAATACCTCTCCGCGTCTTAATAAAACCACTGTCAAAATGTAAGTTGCGGGCGAAATTGTTGCGCTGTAATTAATTCGCCGCGGAGCGCGCAAGTAATTGCGCAATTACTTTTGATAATGAAACCATAACCGAGGGGGCTGTCAAAACCGCCGCCGCCGCCGTAGCCGCCGCCACCGCCTTTATTCACATCCTCGCATCGCATCCCTGGTTATCGACCGAAATTAATTCCTGTTCTGCAAAGAGCGCTGGTCAAGACACCAAACAACCCCATCCACACACACCCCACAAAGGACACCATGACAGACAAAACTTTGCATTATGTAACAAACAAATACCGTCGTTCTACTTTTGACTTGCTAGTTTTCGACTGAGGTTAGGTTAGGTTAGAAATTTCTATGACTAAAGTTGAGCCAAAATTACTCGTGCATGTGAATGCATGTTGGTGTGTGGGTTGTGATCGTGTTACCGCTTGAAATATAAACCAACCCCTTTACATCAACCCCAGTGCAACTACCCTCAGCTGCATTTAATTATACGCAATTTGTTGGGTAATAAAGTTTGCGCAGTACAATACTTGTACACAGCGTGTCGAAATGCTTACAATGAAAAATATCACGTTCTAATGAGGAAATAGTGAAATTTGGGGTAGAAAAACCGGTATTTCGGTATACCGGTATTTTTTTCTATCAAAATATGAGAGAATTATCGTATTAAAAATATAAAATTTTTGAAAAAATACCGGTTAACCGGTTTTAATACCGGTATTTTGAAAACCGGTTAACCGAAAAACCGGTATTTATAAAATTATGTAATTATTCACTATAATAATTAAAAATATTAATTAAAAAAAATAATAATACCGGTTAACCGGTTTTAATACCGGTTTTTTTCTCAAATCGGTATACCGAAAAACCGGTATTTAAAAATTTTGTTTTTTATTCACTAAAATAATGAAAAATATTAGTATTTCATAAAAATACCGGTTAACCGGTTTAAATACCGGTATTTCCCACCCCTATTTACAATTTTTAGGAGAAATAAAACATGCGACCCATGTAATTTCCATTAATATTAATTAATAATCCCCAGTTAGGTTGTCGCAGCGTCTTCAAACGTGTCGAACATCTAGGAAGCCACCCTTAACACTTTCAACCCCTTAAATAACCCAGGAACGCCGACCTAGAAATTTTGATACTGATGATGATGTACGGCCGGTAGATCTCTATGCAAACACGCCGGGATATCACCGCAACCCTACTATTTCCATTATCTATCGAAAGACGGCGGCCGGAGGGTGCTTGTTGATGATGTAGACGTAAAACAACCCCCAGTGAATATGTCCATTCACGCGCAAATAGTCAATTTAATATTTAATTGATAAATAACAACCCGAAGATACCATTAAACATTTCATCAAACATAAATAAATATGTTTTAAATTTTATTGCGAATTTTCATCCCTTATTTTAATTTTTAAGCAGTGCGCATGCGTGAAATGTGAAAATCTCCTCACGTAGGTATTGTCATGCATGCGTCAGCGACGAGTGGTAAAGATGGCAACTTGTATGCATACGCATGTAAACTCACTCGTAGCGGGGGCGGCTGGGGGTGGTTGAGGGGTGGCACAAGGGTGTGAATGTGTAAGCACGCAAACAAAACGTTACGCCTCTCGACAAGTCAACTCCGCTGCGTTGAATATGCCACAGTATATCAACAAAACAAGCTTGGGAACATAAGGGATGAAGGGATGAAAATTTAACAAAGGGATGATGCAAAAATTGAAAAATTCTCATTATAGAAAACTGCAGAAATAAAAAATTTCAAGATGAAAATGTGAATTTTTGTGTTGAATACCGGTTTTTCGGTTAACCGGTATTTTTTATGTAGAAAAACCGGTATACCGGTATTTATAAAATTTATTAATGAAATATGATATTAAAAAATATTGGTTTTTAAAAGTAAAAATATCGGTTTTTGAAAAAAATACCGGTATTTAACAAAATAACCGGTATACCGAAAAACCGGTTTTTAAAAAATTAATTTAAAAAATTTAAAAATTAATAAAATCACCGAAAAACACAAAAAATATTTTTTCTCATAAAATTAATGAAACACCCTGTATATAAGAGTAGTTATTTTATAATAATTGTCAAGTGTTGACCTGATATTCCACTGACATGCCTAAGGGTAGCAAACAGACATGGCATTCAGCAACGAAAACGATAATCATCCCTACAACCCCATCTCCAAGGGTTGCAATTCAAAATGGTGATGATTTTTTGCATTTTTAATGCGTGTATTAATTTTTTTATTGCGAAAAGCGCTCGTTATCATTTATATTTTGCCATAAAAACAATAATAATAGTCCTGTATTTAACAACCCTTATTTACAACCCCTAAAAATATTAAAATATTAAATTCTACCGAAAATATTATTATTTATTTGCTCACATATGCAAAAGTTTATAAATTATGCGAGTGACCACTGCCTGAGTGAGATATAAAACGCATCCGGTTTTCCGGTTTCCGGGAGTTAATAATAAAAGTTTTTACGATGCAGTTTATCCTCCGGAGACACAAAGCAACATTACAAATTTAATAATGTATTAGGAGTAGTAGTAGCACTGCTATGATTCTGAACCCATAGAAGTAGTGAGACAATAGGCAACCAAGTATACACTAATGTGTATTTAGTTGCTAGTGAAGACCTTTAATATACTATACTCTCGGAATGATGAATTTTTACAGTCGGTAAGCCGAGTTAGACATGTTTATAATGTGAATAAGCCAGTTATAAATTAATCAACGGAAAATATTTATTAGTACGCACGGGTTGGGCGCGTGGGGATTTGCAAGCTCTGGCTCATTATGATCACTGACATATGCATAATGAATTACAACTTCGTTACG